ATTGAACACAATTTTTGGCATGAGCGCTGGGCAGCGCGCGCGGGGGGCTGACTACTCAGAGAGCAAGGTGTCCATTGTTGCTCTGGTACCCGGGCGTGGGTGTGGAGCTGCTCAACAGGTGGTGTTGAACCATGACGCCCTCCCCCCCGCGCGCCCCAACTGTCTGGCAGAAACGGGTCCGTTTAAAAAAAGAGTGCTCTGTTCTCCATCTTTTGCTACCTCAACGAGTTGTACCATTTGATTTTGGGGCCGACAGGACTGTTTCAAATCCGTCGGTTACCTCCGGAAACAGTTTCAAAATTTTGGACGTTTATTTCAGAGGACATGCCACACTGGCGCAGAAGAAGTGCGCGCGGGGCACACCTCTCCTCAGGACGAAGTGAAGGGGGCCGTACTGAACAAGGCGTCGTTGCAGGGACCCCCCGAGCGTTAGACTTTAACGTTTTATTTCAGAGATATAGTTGACTTTTTTGGAAAACGCCAACCGCTGTCGGCTAGGGCAATTCATTGTAAAACATACTGCGTTAAATTAAATGTCACTTTCTCAAGGGAATTTTAATTTAATAGAAAGAGATAATTTTGTAGGAGACGTGCTGACTGGAACGCAGTCTAGCGGCAGGCTATCGCGAGCTTCGCGTCGAGGGGACCTAGGGCAAAGAAAGAATGTGATTGGTTCTGAGTGGCGTAGCGTCAGTGTAGTAGTAGTACGAACCCACCTCTCCCCCCACAATGCTATGGCAGTCACGAATTTGTGGGAAATTTAAAGCCAGTGCGTTGCACGGGTAGATGCTCCCCGACCATGTGTGGTAAAATTCCTTCCCGCCGCGTGGGATTTTCAGGCAGTGGGCTGCGCAAAGCACATTTTCCCGCCCACGTTCACGGAATTTATACACCCAGTGCTGCTGATGTTCTACCCCTGTGGGAGTTGAAAAGGAACATCCCCTCCAGCGAGGTGAAATTTATTTACCCAGGGTTGGTTAAAAGTCACCTGTGTGGATGTAAGTGGTAATTCACCACCCAAGTAGTAATTTTGTCTCACCACATTATATAAGAAATTTACACCTTAACGAGGGTAATGATTTTTTCCCACCCGGTGGGGTAAATCTGCATTACATACCAGAGGTAGAAGTTTATCTACACATGGGTGAACAAAATTACCCTGGATGTTTTACAGTGAACCCCTTCCTTTGCTACAATGCACAGAACTAGGATAACACTAGAGCGACTGAACCATAATTTCGGATCAGCCCCTAATTCGGATCAATGAGATCTACACACGCTCCCTTGCTAAAGTGTATGGGTACAAAGGAGCAAAATACTTCGCAGCTCTGCAAAGCGAATGCTTTGTAGGAATGTAACAGTGTACCAATTTGATGTTTTCAATTAAAAACTCGTGAATTTTAAGAAAATTCCATTTAAAACAATAAAATTAGTTGATAAAAACTGTTGTTGTATCAGCAGCTAATATAGATAGAGATAGCAACTTTATGCGTTTTAAAACTCAAAATTATGCACAAAAATAGCACCCGATTATGCGCTTATTATGCGCCTAAAAACCTGTTTTTATGCGCTTATTACGCGCTGTTCTAAAACATAAAATATCAATTTTTTGACGATTTTTGGACTAAAACACGTTAAAAATGGGTGAGCGGTGAGGAGTAATTTTTCTTTTAAAAAGCGTTGCGGTGCGAAGAGCGACCGCTGCCGACCGTGCGGACCAGCCAGCCCCCC